CAGGCTGGGGAGGTTGGGCAGCCCAGACCTGGTCCCCCTGCTTGCAAGGAGCCACCAGCTTGGCAGCCCAGCCCCAGCCTCTCCCCCCTGTGAGAAGCTGCCATTTGGGAGGAAACTAGCCCCCACATCATAAGAAGACACTGGATGGGGGGTAGTGGGGGCTGGGCAGCCTCCCCATGGGAAGAACCACTGGCAGCAGAGCCAGGCATATCAGTCCTGACCTCCTCAGGAAGAGACGCCAAGGCACGCCTGCATCCCCCACACCTGCAGCTACCTCCTCTGAAGGAGCTGAGGAACCCTGAGTAAACAAGGAAACTAGCCCCCACATCATAAGAAGACACTGGATGGGGGGTAGTGGGGGCTGGGCAGCCTCCCCATGGGAAGAACCACTGGCAGCAGAGCCAGGCATATCAGTCCTGACCTCCTCAGGAAGAGACGCCAAGGCACGCCTGCATCCCCCACACCTGCAGCTACCTCCTCTGAAGGAGCTGAGGAACCCTGAGTAAACAACATTTCAGACTGACTTCATCTGGTGGACTCTGGTGGTCCTCCTCGGGGCCAGGCAGCCTGGAGATATTACTGCATTATACTTTTCGGCAAAGTGGAGTGCAAAGGAATCTCTAGCAGGAAAGCCATGTGGCTCCTGGCTTTCGAGTGTTCATAGCACATACTTTGATGTCTTCTGATAATGTTGGTCTTTTTCAGACATGTTCCAGGTATGTCACACCGACAGCATGGAGTTCTCATTGGACTCTTTTGTTCCATTAGGAATTTCAAGTGTTTTTTCCGCTCTGTTTTTCAGCATTTGCCAAAGTAGGAGGATACGAGGCCTTTATGGAGAAATACATGAACGCTATTCCAAGCAACATCTCCTATGGAAACGTTATCATTGACCCAAAATGCTACACCCCCCGGGCAGATTCCTTCCACATCTTCCGAGACCCGATCACTGGAGATCTGCCATGGCCTGGCCTTACTTTTGGCTTGAGCATCCTCGCTTTGTGGTACTGGTGCACAGATCAGGTAGGGGAAAGGAAATTCAGGGCATTCTAACATCTGCAATCTCGTTGGAATGATCTCTCTCCCACTCCACCCCTATTCCTTTATCTCCTTAGAGAGGAAGGTGATTTTTCCTCGATAGTTCTTAATTGCTCAGCCCTTCCCATGGTAAGTCAATGGTGTTTGTGTATGTGTTCCTTTTTTCCCGTCTCATGATCTGTTCAATGAACTTGGAGGATCTAGTTTTCAGACGTGGCATTGCAACAAAATATTTTCACTCAGTGGATCCTGTGCTTCTGGATAAGTGGTAGGTTGAGTGTTCTCTCTCCTAATCTTGGGGGGATGGCAACTTGCCCATTGGCTGCCTATAGCTCTCAGTCTAATCCCTTTACTTCAGAGGCACTTAGGGTATGTCTACACTACAGAGTTAGTTCGAATTAACGGACGTTAGTTCAAACTAACTTTCATAGGCGCTACACTAGCGCTCCGCTAGTTCGAACTTAATTCGAACTAGCGGAGCGCTTAGTTCGAACTAGGTAATCCTCATTTTACTAGGACTAAGCCTAGTTCGAACTAGCTAGTTCGAATTAAGGGGTGTGTAGCCCCTTAATTCGAACTAGTGGGAGGCTAGCCCTCCCCAGGTTTCCCTGGTGGCCACTCTGGCCAACACCAGGGAAACTCGACTGCCCCCCTACCAGCCCCAGACCCCTTAAAGGGGCACGGGCTGGCTACGGTGCCCGTG